AAATGATGCTTGTGTTGTAATCGAGGGACTGTGCGTCAGACACGTCGCTTTTAATCATTAGAAAAGTACTTCAGTGACTGACAAGCGGGCCTCATTACACTAATGAATGGCAGCTGTAACAATCCGCATCAAAAGATGCAACGCTAGTTTCAGATTAACAAACAGATGTCGGTCTAAAAAGTTTCAACCACAAGGGACCTAGATGAGAATTACGTGCCAAAACCCACAGAATGCCTGTAATCTTTGTCAGCTACACCTGCAGTGGACGTACCGCTCAGATTTCTGCTGCTTTCATTGTACTTGAATGAGACACCCAAAAATGAGACAGCCAAAAAAAGGTTTAAGATTACAGAGCAGCTTGTGCCGAGCATGTTACACAAATTTTGGGGCTTGAAGGAGCGGGATGCAGGTTTTAACATGTCGAGGAAAAAACAAAAACAAAAAAGCTTCCACCCTGTTTCAGAGCACACTGGTTGAGAAACAAGCCATCATAGTGGGTGTCTCCTGAATATCTTGCTTTGCTGAAACACCCCAAGTGCAGGCCTGACCTTGCCCCTGCCATTAGCAGAGATGCATTGGAAATAAAATCCTCAAACCTTAAAGACATGGTGCAATGTTGGGAGTAAAACAGGGGTTCACAGTGAAAGTGGCTCCTGCCCCTCACAGCACAGCCATCATCTGGACAACAGACGCCACAGCCTCCAAAGTCAGCTCTGCCTCCATGAGTCACCCAGGCCCAGCTGAGTCAAGTGACTCTTGATGCTGAGACTCATAAAGTCATACTGAAACAAAAATATGCCTGGGTATGCACTAAAAAAAAACAAAAAACACACACACACACACACAACCTCCTTGTAGCATGTAGGCTTTTAGATAAGCAAATAAGTCTGGCATTCTCCTTCATTTTGCTGTTAATTTGCTTAGTGGGAGGTAATAATAATAATCATCATCATCATCATCATCATCATCATCATCATCAAACATGCTCTAATGTGCAGCAGGATGTTACATAAATCCTTTCACCTGGCTGGCTGTCACTGAAAATTGTCTCAGAAAAATAAGTGTGCATCTTAAGAGGCAAATTAATGTATGCATGTTACCAAAATACACGCAGTGTGTGTGACAGGATCTTCACAGCCGACAGTCGGTACAGACAGGGGCACATTTCATCAGCTTTAACTGTGTGCAGCAGAAAAACATGGTGCTCCTCTCCAGAGCCCCGAACAGGGATGCAAACTTAATCTAAACATGCTGGGTGTAGGAGCACCTTGTAAAATAAGACGTGCTTAACGTGACGTTGCATCTCCGGGAGAAGATTATCAAATCTGAACTGGAGTAAACCCACCGTTAGTTAGTTACCTAGCAACATGGCAGCACGGTAATGACAAATTGATGGCTCTCAGCGGCTCATCACATACCTGAACCTGATGCACAGCAGCGATGCACCTTTGGCAGGTCCTCCCCCCCCTCTCCCCAACACCTTCCAGCAATGCAAAGTTTATCAGCCTTTTCCCAGGAGAGGGGGGGATGAGGAAGGGTTTGGCGGGTAGCTACTTTCTCCAGCAACACGGGGTTTCCTTCAGCACTTGACGAGATCTGGAAACGATGCCATAACCGACAGAGACGTATCGAAAGTCGGACACTAATTTCCTTTACGTCGCTGTCTTGTGTGGCCCTTCAGCAGAGGAGGAAGGGGGCGCGGGTACGACACGTAAAGATGACACGCAGAGAAGCATCATCAGCCCCCCGAGCGTGTTACAGGAGATCAGTCAGTGTTTACTAAATCTGTCCACATCGCTGCGCCGGAGAAGCACACGCTGGATTTCCTCAATCGACTAAAAAAAAACATACATAAAAAATAAAAATAAAAAACGGCTAAGGTAGCTATGATAACGTTAAAATGTCCTTGAATATCCGAGCTGCCCTCCCAGGAGTTGGCGGCTGGGCTCGTCCGGTGCTGAGGAGGATAAATCGCCTGCGAGGTGAGGTGAGCTCAGCGGCTGCTGCCTCCGTCCAGAGAACCGGGAAGAAGAAGAGCTCTCGCCATCGTAAGTTATCATTCCTCAAGTCTGAGCCGCGGCGAGACTTCAGTCCCTTCAAGCACGACACAAACTGCTGCCAAGTACAACACAAAGCTCGGCGAGCTTCCCCGCACCACTTTCGAAATAAAAGCCGGCCTGGCTGCGTATTCGGTTTCTTTAAAATTGCGACAGCAGAGTTAAGTTATGTAAAGCCTTTCGTTTGCTAAGCGACAATTTCATGACATATATCCAAATACTCACCGGGTTTCAGCTGTCCCCACACCCCCGTGGCTCAGCCTCGCATCAATTCAGGTCTTAACCGGCGTGTTATTCGGAGGAAACCAATAATGAACGGGACCACTAACGCCATTGTGTCAGCTTTTTGAAGGTTTCATCTCGGGACTTCCGGTGTTTGTCTTTCCATCCTTTAGCTTGACTACAGGCGGAGCGGGGTTTGTGAGGTAACGCGCCATCTGCTGGCCGCAGGGCACACGCTCGAAACTGGTCAAACCGGTGGTTACGTATTTCCGCAGACATAAGCGGTAAAGGATGTGAAGTTACAAAGGTTAATGCCCTCACGGTGAAACATACTGATACCCACTGACTCACACATTTCTGATACACTTACTCTGCTCTGTTTGTATTCTACAAAAACTGGAATCACGAATTAACGAGTTGAATTGACATGTTTAAAATAATCTCTTTTTATTTTTAAAAAGCTCTGTTATAAAACTGGTGGCATTCCAAGCAGGTGACTGATTTGATTTAACAGTTTTTTAGATTTTGTTCCCTTGAACCACCCTTATATATATTTTAGAAGGAAAAATGAGGAATAGATGCAGTGATTTACTGATACACACACAAATATACATGGAATTGCAGTACATAAGGGATAAAGAGAGTTTTCACTCCATAAGACCTGTTGACACTCATTTTCAGTCCAGTTCTTGCGTAATAAGTCATTACACAAAGACTATTTCGTGTGAAGCTTCAGTGAAAGGTAAATGGATCAACTGAAGGGTCAGATAGATCTCTCAGGTCTTTGCTCCTGTTTTTTAAGGACATGACTTTCTGCACCACTGTAGATATTTCTGCAGTATAATTGTCCTCCAATTGTTCAGTTTCCTCAAATTTTTTAAGGGCACACTGCACACCATGCTGAGATGTGGCAGTTGTTTTAGATTATAGATCCAAGTTTATACAGATGAGATATTTTTGCAACAGGTTGCTTGTAACAAAGGGCTTAAAGATACAATTTAAAACAGATTCTTTTCGAGGTTGTTTGTTATGTGTAAACACAACGCTGGTTTATTCCTTAAATTAGATGCAGCAAATGTCCAAAGAAAAACGATAGAGTAATAGATGTTCGAAATTCAATGTCCCCACACTTAGTTTATAAAAGAAATGCCATCACAGGTCATTGGAGACATTGTCTTTTCCCTGTGACCCACATAGGTTTCCTGCTTTACTAATTATAGTCATTGTTAAGGGACAAACAGGAAGCATTACATCACAGTCCATTTAACAATCCATTTGGAAAATTGGTTGAAACTGTTTTGCAGTCTTTTTTTTTTACTATTTATTGACATTTATTATGTCTTTGTGTTATTACTACAGAAATGACAACCTAATGAATCTCTTTCACAAGTTTTGCCTGGACACTGAGAAGTGAAAAACATAACAACGTGGAAATTTTTAAATGAAGTATATATGTATTGTGTAAAACCAGGAAATCATATCAAAATGTTACTTTGCATGGTTGAGAACCTATTGACAATCACATCACAATAAAAGCTTTTATTATAGTTCCTGCTGTAGTAGGAACTATAATGTAGGAACTACAGCACTATAACATTTTTGACATAACAAACATATACGTGAGCTGTGTAAGCATTTACATTTGGCACAGCTGCTAAAAAAGCAAAATTATGCAGTCTGTTGTGGAAAAACTAAACACGCCTACTGATTCAGCAGTTTGGAGAACCACCTTTAGCAGCAATAACTTGAAGTACTCATTTTCTGTGTCACTTTATTAGCCTCTCACAATGTTGTGGAGGAATTTCAGGCCACACTTTTTTACAATGTTGCTTTACCTGCTCCTTAATCTCACTACAGAGCACAGTGTCGTTCATTGAGGAAGGTGACACTCATTTATATACATAGCTCTCTTAAAGTCCCAACACAGCATTTAAATCAGACTCTGGGCTGGTCTTTAACTTTTGTTCTTTAACTATTCTTTGGTAGATTTCCTCTGCTTTGGGTCATTGTCCTGTTACATGACCCAATTTTGGTCAAACTTTGGCTGTCACCTTATGCAATAGTCTTTATATATGCTTGTATTTTCTTTTATTTCACTGCTTTTCTGTTTCGTAGCACTTTTTGGGTTCCAGCTTGGATGTATGCATATTACCCTACCTTGTTTCCCCCCCCCCCCCCTTTCTTTTCTTTGTGTTTTTCCCCCCATCATATTCAATCAAATCAGCAAAGTTTGTGACTTTTTGGTGAGGGGTAAGGCATGATAAATCGAACCTTCTTTGGACTATAGAAAACAAGATAAAACAAAAGCCCTAACCTTTTTATACATTGAAGTAAAAGTCAGATTTTAGAAAAGTGTATGCCCTGCAGAACCAATCAGAATGTGGGACAGGAGGACAAAGGATAAAAATGCTGTCCAGTCCTGCGTAAAGTGGGACATCCAATCACCCTTGTCCTGCACCACCCTCACACTTGTCTCCCACTCATGACCGTACCAGTTTCTCTCCTGGCGCCCTTTCATGTCCCTTCTCTATATCCACAGAGACACAGTCCAACTCCTTCTGAACTTCTCTGAACTTCTCCATCAACACTATCACAGCTTAAAGTTGAAAAGTAATAATGATAATAATTAGAAAAATAGAGTAATCGCTTATTCAAGTACACCAGTGTGGCTAAGTGATACGTGGTGGCGCTGTAGAGTCAGCATACCCACTATTCAATCCGCGAAGAAAAACACAACGACGGAAGTAAAGAAGACAAACCGGAACATAAACAAAGGCTCAGCGTGACTCTGAAAGAGTGAGCCTGTGACACCTGTTTTTAACTGTCTCTCTGTTAGGGTCTGGTGTGTTGTGATGTGATGTCCGTGTTTGTACCGATCACCAGCTTTGTGCGCATGCGGCTCACATGGATAGGCTCTCTGCTGCTTAGACCCCCTCCCACTGGACTCAGGTGTGTGTTGGCAGCCGGTAAAAAGGACCTGATAGACCTTCCTGTCCTGGTCGAGGATGAGCTCGAAGAGCAGTTTGTGAGAGGATCTGGACCCGGAGGACAGGCGACCAACAAAACCAGCAACTGCGTGGTGCTAAAGCACATCCCCACTGGGATCGTGGTGAAGGTGCTTTTTGTTCACCAATAGTTAATCGTGTAATGGTGTCCAGTACATCTGGAATACCTTTGATATTGTTTGTTGTCTTTTAATCTCCTCTCTAGTGCCACCAGACCAGATCTGTGGACATAAATCGAAAACGTGCCCGAGAGATTATGAGGGAGAAACTCGACGTTGCGTACAAAGGAGAGCTCAGTGAAGTTGTGATGAAGAAGAAGGAGTCTGTGCTCAGGAAGCAAGAAAAGAGGAGGAAGGCCAACGAGAACCTGGAGAGAAAGAGACTGTTGAAAGAAGCGCTGGCTGCAGACTCCAAGCCCGGAAATGACACTGTATGAGTGGTGTGTGTGTGTGTGTGTGTGTGTGTGTGTGTGTGTGTGTGTGTGTGTGTGTGTGTGGTCGGTGAGGTCAGAGATACTTGAATGATCCTGCATGTTGTGTCTGTAAAGCCTCAGTCTGAAGAAGTGCTGTCAGCTCTAATAACAAGATTTTATTTGTTTAGCTTCGGACAGGCACAGTATCAGTGTGTCACATAAGGATTAAAATAAAGTTATGTGTGATTGGTTGTTTATTCGTGTGAGTCTAAACTTGAGTTAAATAGGGGGGTCTGCTTCGTTTACCTTTAGATTGAAGTAGGATGGCAAAAATTTTGGAAGCCATGGAGCATTCAGCATATTTGAATTTCACAAGAAAAAGCTTAAAAAGAGACGAGTTGATCTGTGGATGTCTTCACGTTGAAACCTAAAGGTGTCACCAGAACACAGTAATATATAAGTGGACCTATTGCAAATGAACATAAAAAACGTTTGCTTCTATTTATACTGATTATAGGATGCTGAAAAATTGCATTGAAATGAATTACAGTTGCTGGACACTTTAAGTACCTTGCTGCTACCCAGTTAGATCCCTTTTGCCTCCAGAGCTACCTAAATTCTTTTCACATAGATTCAAGATGGTGTCAGAAACATTCCTCTTTGGTCCATACCGGCATAATAGCATTGCACAGATTTGTAGGCTGAATATCCATGATATAAATGTCCTGTTCAATCGCATCCCAAAGGGGCTCTATTGAATTGAGATCTGGTGACTGTGGAGGCAATTTGAGTACTCAAGCAGTTTAAGATGCTTTTGGCTTTATGACATGGTGTGTTATCCATCAGAAACTGGGTGCTCTGTGGTCATAAAGGGATGATCAGCAGCAATACTCAGTTGGTACCAAGGGGCATAAAGTATGCCAAGGAAATACCATAACAAGTGGTTATTGGAGTTACTGTTACCTTCCTATCAGCTCAAAGCAGTCTGGGCTCCTCTGACTTCTATAATCAAGAAGGCATTTTAACCCAGAGAACTGCTGCTCACTGGATATCTTTACTCATTCAGACCACTATCTGAAAACACTAAAGATGGTTGTGTGGGAAAATCCCAGCGGATCAGCAGTTTTGTTTTTGTTTTTTTACAATACTCAGACCAGTACGTCTGCATAATTTTTAACAGTACCTCTTACATCCTTTTGCCACTAGATGTCAGTAAAAATCTCTTTCTCTACATTAATAGGATGTTTTATTTAGAAAGTTTTATTTAAAAAGCAAATGTGGGTCTGTGCTCAATTCTAGCCATATCTAAGTAAAAATCATGATCTCTAGCTGTAAGTTATTGTCTTTTATTCTTATCTTTGCGATGTTATATTCCGTTAATATTACTTTTATAAGCTCTTTGCAGGTAAACAGGCAAAACAGATTGTTTTGTGTTGCTATTAAAATAATTATCATTAACTGTTATTTAATGCCACTGAGAAAAACTTTTGCAAAGAGACCGATAACACGCAGAGCCATCAGCTGGGGCCAATCAGAGAGCTGTTTTCAAACCCAAGCCCCTCCCGTCTGTACTTAAGAGCCAATGAGAAGCGGAGTAGTATTTTTAAATCCTCCACGCTCTCTCCGGAGTGATGCGGTCTGATATTTGTCGTTGCAGTGAACTGAGTACAGTAAGGAACCAGAAGACACAGGACTGCATTTAACAGCTCCCACGTCCTCTGTGGATTTTTATTTGTGTACTGACATGGCAAAAGGTAACTGAGACGTGTTGCTGTTTGTGTAGTAGCTGACTGCTAAATGCTAGTTAGCGCAAAAAAGGGACTAGGTTTGTTAAAATACACGTGGTTGTTTACAAATAAAACTCAGCGGTAGTGTTTTTTTTTTGTCGTATATGTCAATGAATTGTTAGATGGAAGAGCTCAAATTTATTCATGTCTATGTTTATGCAGGGAAGAAAAATGTGCTGAGAGTCGACAAAAAGCCAGAGAACCCTGCTGAAGATACAGTAACCTCACTGACGGAGACAAAGGAAAACAAGCCAGCAAATAACAAGGTAACAAGGCTCTCCTCAGCTTATGCATCTCCAAAGCAGGAAGCTCACATTTTCTGGTAAACCAATTAGTGTTACTCTTGCAAGGGGTAAATCCTCCGCTTCATGCTGTGAACTAGGGGTTTCAAAAATAAGGGCCCGGAGACCAGAAGCTGCCCGGCAGATATTCCAGTACGGCCCAACTGGACAGGTTGAAAGAAGACCTACATTTTGGACTTTTAACTTTAATGTTATAGGTTTTACAGCTTTAGCTTTACTGATAAACACCTCCCTTCTGAGTATTCATGCTACACCAAAGTAACTGGGTTGATAGTTACAAAATATCTAATCAAAGTGGGCTTAATCTAGCTAGTGGATGTAAAATAAGTATGAGATTCCCTCTAGGTCCTTCATGTCCTTACTCAGACACCTGGTTTCAGTACAGCTATTTGTATGTTATAACTTACTCCTTCTCTGTGTCTGACTGAATGACCAACAGTAGTACAAGGATTCACTGACCATGTTAGTGAATTCTTGTGAGAGAAACTCCGCTTGACACACAAGTAGAGAGGGAGAAAAACTTGAACATTTAATTTGAGCAATTTGAAATTTAGGCCTGTGGCTCGCAAATGGCAGAAAAATATTAATGCCTCATCTTTTTTACAGTTTGCGCACTGTATGGGTCAGGAATGTATGCTCCTAATTTACTTTAGATTGCTGCATCCACATTCCTGTACTTGATTTAAACTGGATATTTGAATCGGTTAAATTGTGAGCAGATTTTCCTGCAAGTCCTGTCAGAAAATCTCAGTTTAGTGTTCCCTTTTATATATGTTATAAAGTATTGAATGAGTGAGAAACAGCTGATTATGGACAGAGTCTTTGTTAGAGTTGCCAGACCAAGCCGTGCAGTTTTTGCAATTTGTTCATGGTTTGTTTTTTTGGACTCGGCTGGATTAAAGCGATGGATAAAATCTGTTTTCTGTTCTCAAAGGTGCTGGAAAGCACAGTGCTAAGTGTGCAACATGTCTCTAGATTTAGACAAGCTTCTGAACAGTGATGAAATGCTACACTTTGTTTATTGCATCAGATCACTCTCATACAGCTTTCTTTTTATGACCCATGTTTATAATGATTTTTGTAGGGTTGTAAAGGTAACGTGCAGACAGTTCTCCCAAGTCTACGGACTCCAAGCAAGCCCAGGTCCCCTCTGAGTGACAGCTCAAGCACGCTCATTCAGGAAGGAAATGATTCGGATTCAACTAAACCAGAAATGCCAAGACTGAAAAAAGGTAAATTCTTAAATTAAGCACTTACTCTGTTATTTCACTGTTGTCCTTTTAGTTGCTGTTTCATCAGCATTCATGTGAGCTACACAACTTTCCAGGCTACTAGTAGTAGTAGCGCTCACTGACCTGTTCTTCTTAAATAATTGTGGTGTTTTTGTTTCTTCTGTGTTTAAGGCTCATCCAATAAAATGAAAGCTGAGGTATCCAAAGTCCAGAAGGCTGAAATGGCTTGTCATAGTGATGAAACAAGAGAAAAGGCCTCTGAGCAACCTGAGCAACCAAGCTCCACCTCGCATACTGACGTCAGGTCTGCAACAGATGGCAGTGTCCCAAAATCCAAGTCTCGGGGCAGAAATGGACACAAGCTGGGAGCAAAAAAGTGAGTACATGTCACCAACGTGCCAGTCTCATTAAAAACACGGGGGGTGGGCACGGACTCTTTCACACTCACTTGCACAAGCATAATGACTTATTACTCTGATGTCTCTTGTTTTCAGGATGGAGAGTAAAGCTCTTCAAAACAGAAAGGTCACTGACTACTTTCCCATCAGGCGCAGTAACAGAAAAACAAATGCAGAGTTAAAGGTCTGTATTGACTAATACTTTTCCAGATTTCTGAAAGGACTTCAAAATTTTTTGGTTGGGTTTTTCTTTTGTTTTTCTTTTTGAAAGCCACTAAATGCTGATCTATGACTCATTAAAGCATAGAGGCACCTAACTCGAGGGATGAACCATGAGTTGTGTCTACACAGTTGGCAAAGAAACAGTTAAATAACACATAATTTATTAGTTTCTTTCACTGAAGCCTCATTGGAAATGGTCTCTGTGGAGTGGCTGTCGAGCCATTCTTAAGGGAGGGGGCGAAACTATTAAAACAAATGTATATAAAGTTGTCTTGATGTTCTCTTTAATAAAAAATAAAAAAACTAAACTAAATGATCTAATCACTGTTAACAGAGTGAACAACACAAGCACCTCGATGACCTGATAAAGAATGACATTGAAGAAGGAATGGAGGTAATGTTTACATTTGTGCCACTACAAAACTTTGCATGCAGACATGATCCCTGAATGCTGGTTAAGCAACATTTGCTAATCTAGTGTACATTTTCACTGTGAACAGGTCAAAAACATAGACGGCAAGGGGAGAGGGGTATTTGCTGTGAGTGGTTTCAAAAGGGGAGATTTTGTCGTGGAGTATCACGGAGACCTGCTGGACCTGGCTGAAGCTAAAATCAGAGAGGCCCAGTACGCTGAGGATCCTCAAACAGGCTGTTACATGTACTACTTCCAGTATCAATCCAAAACTTACTGGTAAGTCCAAATGGCATCGCTCTGCAAGAGGTCTCACACACGTGCACACAAACCTTCAAAGTATGTGAGATTAATCTTTAATCATCAGTTTATTCAGTGTTGGCGTCTCACCATAGACCTTTATATATTCACCCTAATGACTATTTTTTTTTTTTTTTTTGTTTTGTTTTGTTGTTTTGTTTTTTTTAGAATCATAAAAGCATGTCTGTTCTTTAGGATGAGTAATTATTTCTTTAATACAAAAAGCACTGTTATAAAACTTTATTCTAGCTGACATTTATTATGCGAAAGACATCTCCTAGAATTAAAAACAAAAGTTTAATAGCTGTGATTTTAGTATGGACACCTGTCTTGTGTTGTGACAGTCATGTCTGTGTATCACAGTGTTGATGCCACAAAGGAAACGAGTCGGCTCGGTAGGCTGGTCAACCACTGTAAAACTGGAAACTGCCAGACGAGGCTTCACCCCATCGATGGAACGCCTCACCTGATCTTGGTCGCCTCCAGAGACATCAATGCAGGCGAGGAGCTGCTTTACGATTATGGCGATCGGAGTAAAGCCTCAATCCTTGCTCACCCATGGCTCAAACACTGAGACCTTGACTTTTTTTTTTTTTTTCCGTTAATATATGAATTTGTCCCGTCTGCTGTCCAGTTTCTTTATGGAAAAAGATGTGATACTTGAAATGTTTTATTTTGTATAGATGCTCAAACTTCAGCTGGTGAAGTATATTTTTTTTAATCAGGATTTTATATCTTTATGAAATGTAGCAGTCATTTTCTTTGAGAAGCAGGTTTGCACTGTGAACGGGGTTTCCTTTAGTAATTGTCATTCTAGCTTTTGTAAATTATTACATGTGCTGTAAATTGAGGAATAAAGCGGTCTTCATTCCTGCCGTGACATGATTGGTGGTGCATTTGATAACTACATAAGGGACACATCTACTATCCTCCAGGTGGGACAAGACCATATCGTGCATCGGGGGTTTCAAACATAAGGCCAGGAGCCTGAATTGGCCTGGCGAAGACTCCAATGTGACCCATGGGATGGCTTTTTCAAACATTGTGAATTGTTTTTTTTCTTTTCTTTTTTTAACTATATTTTCACAGGTTTTACAGCCTGGGCCATTCACAGCACACCAAAGTAATTAAATTATAGATTTTTATTTATTTATTTTTATAAACACATTTACTTCTTTCAATTTAAGCCCAAAGAGTCATGTTGGCAGATTTCTTTCACTTACTACAGCAGTGTTTCTTCTCCATGAGACCTTCTGTTGAAATTGCAAAGTGACGGTACATTATGAATTGTTCTGTTATAGCCCAGCCACTACTGTGATTACAGTGATATTTAACATTTAGAGCCACTTAATTATGGGCTGGTTCCCATATGCAACACATGTCATTCTTGCTTCATTCATACAATGAACACATTGTATCCAGCAATGGTCCCCAGCAGATACTGAACTCTAAATACTATGTTGCATGGTCCCTCCATGTTATGTCCACAAATTCTTTAGTGCAGTTAGGAGATAAAAGCAAAATTTGCTACAAAATTCCTTTAAAACTTACCTGACGAGGCTTTAAGAGTGAAAGTAGGAATATTTCCACACATGCAGCTAGCACTTGAGATTGGGTTAAACCAGTGTGTAGTGTTAAAGCCATTTATCAGTGAGGCTAATTGGGGGGGAAAAAAGGGTTCATTTGTTAGAGAGCAAGAAAATGGGACCCTGCAGCAATGAAAAAGGTCATGTGGTCCGAAGGGTGCAGATTTACTCCGTTCCAGAGTGATGGGCATCTTAGGATAAGAAGAGGGGATGATGTGATGTAGCAGTCAAGCCTACAGTACGAGCCTGTGGGAGCAGTGTTACGATGTGGTGGTTGGTGACTAATCTAAATATACTGAGTGACCAGGTTTTTCCATCAATGCATGAACTGAACTGTCAACAAAGCTAAAGACAGTTCAGTGAAATATGAGAGTGGGTTACCTTTTTGTCCCGCCTACCCTTCTTCACACAAAACAGAAGTCAACGAGAGGACTTCAGCAAGAACAAAGCCTTGTAATCTGCTGATTAAAGCCTGCAAATCTATGCTGTAATTTGTGTATTAGCAATATTTTTGGCATCTGGCTAAAATATGATAAAACAAAAGCTTTTTAAATATTCAACTTGAGACAAAACACAAGTACAATCAAATTTATTATTAGATTTTGATTGGGTATTTTACCTTCATTAACAAGATAGAGATGAGTGATGGGAATGTGCCTACATAAAGACCTTATCGTGGCTCATTAAAAAACAAGAAAAAAAAAAAAAAGCTGATGTTCAAGTTTATAAATAATTATAAACTTGAACATCTAACATGATCATCACTTGTTAAATAATACTTTCCAGTTTCCTTTCCATATCTTATTTTTACAGAATTAAAAGATGTCTACTCTAAAAACATCTTAGGTTAAAAATTAGTACAAAATATAATGCTTATTAAAACTGACAAATACTTCTTAAAAAGTACAAAAGGAGTTTAATTTTGCCGACAAATCCTGTTTGTCTCCTACATGGTCAGTTCTCCGTGAAAGCTTTTCTTCTCATTTTCGCCTGAATGAAAACCTACAAACAGAAAGGTCAGAGTTAGCTGAAGGAGCGCTGGTGAACATGGAGCACGCAAACAACGCTGCATCACGGGAGGCTGTGATTACTGACGGAAGCATTTTGGCAGAGGCGTACTCTCTCTCTGCGTCTCGTTCACTGCTCAGACAAACATCCTGAGCGTCAGCATGAATTCACCCAGTCACAAGTATATCATTAGGAGACAGGAGACGGGCTGTGAGAACAATCTCCCTGCTAGCTTATCACAGCATCATGTGGTTGCTGCTCAGAATTCTTCTGAATCCTTTCCATTTGAGGTGCACGGCTTAAAACAAGGCCTACTTTTACTTCCTTTTTCCCGCTTTCTTTATATTATTTTTAGTCATCTGTAAATACTTTTGTTGGTAAACCGAGCCAGCTTGTTACTCACAGTTTGCCTATGGTCGTCTTCTCTTCTTTCGTGTCGTTTATCATGGCTGGTCTGTGCTCTGTAGCTGCAGGTGTCTCCACCTGCCATGGTGGAGATGGAGACACCTCCACCATGGCTGGTTCAGCTTGTGGCAGGATCCCACTGCAGGAGAACGGGGATATTTATGATCACTAAGAGTATTTTATAAGACAGGCTAATATTTCATTTTATGAGACATGATCGATCTTGCTGCTTTAAAATGACAACAAATAAAAAAAAACATGATGTGATTGACAATGAAATGTGAGGCTTCTATAATATGCATATATCTTTTTGCATTCATTGGCTAATTGTGGTTCTTATATTTGTGCACTCAGTGTTATAATTACATAGTCACATTCACTCATTGGCACTTTATTAGGTACACCTGTTCAACTGCTTTTTAACAAAAATATCTAATCAGCCAATCACATGGCAGCAGCACAATAGATTCATGCACGTAGACCTGGTCAAGAGGAGGTGCTGAACTTTAAACCAAACATCAGAACAGAAATGAAAGGTGGTTTAAGTGACTTTGAAAGTAACATGGGGGTCAAACTAGACATGCTAGTCTGAGTATGTCATAAACTACTGATCTGCTGGGATTTTCCCACGTGACCATCTCTATGGTTTACAGAGGCTAGCCTTATAAAGACCAGCTCAGATCAGAAACTGAGGCTCAAATTCACACGGTCTCACCAAAATTAGACAATAGAAGATTTTAAAAAATGGTGCCTGGTCTGAGGAATCTCGAGTTCTACTGCAATGGCAGGGTCAGAATTTGCCATAAAACAAGATGAAAACACAGCTCAATTCGCCTTGTTTGAATGGTTCAGGCATGTGGTGGTGGTCACGGTATACTGATGCAGAGGATATTTTCTTGACACACTTTGGGCTTCTTTGTACCAACTGAGCATCATAGAAACCATCTACCTGATCTTTATAACTACTGTGTACTCATCCTCAGATGGCCGCTTCCATAACAGGCCGTGTCACAAAGCTCAGAGCATGATAGTGAGTTCAGCTCAAATGGCAACCACAGTCACCAAATCTAACAGCCTCTAACAGCCCACAAGTCTGCAGCAATGGTGTGATGCTGTCATGTCAACATCAAAATCTGAGGAATGTTTCCAGCTCCTTGCTGAATCTGTGCCACAATGAATTAAAGGTTTGAAGGCAAAAGGTGATCCAACCTACTAGCAAGTTGTACCTAATAGATTGGCTGATCATTTTATGCATTTCCCCATGGACTCAGTGTAATTCTAGTTGAAACTGATATGAGATTCAAGCCAGTCTGACATAGCATTATACAGCAGCCCATCAATAAATCCTCTTACAAGCGCACAGTCTTCAGGTGTATTGACACTGAGCAGGTGCATTAGCTACATGTTTCTGATATAAATAAAGATTTATCATTATTTTATGTACTCTTAGAAGCCAGAGTGAACTTTACATTTCACACCGGTTACCTCTTGTACAGCTGAAGCTCCTCCTGGGCCACCATGAGCTGAGCCTTCAGCTGGTTCCTCTCTTGCAGCACCTCCTTCAGCTCCTGCATAGTGAATCGGGGTCTGTTGGGGTCTGTCAGGTCCACCACCAGCTGGTTCGGTCCCGAAGTCTGCTGTGATTAAAGGGGGGGAAAGCCATATTTAAAGGTCTACTTTTATCTGACAAGAGCCTGAACTATAGAGCGTCAAACTCACCGCGCCAGGCCTGGAGGAGCCCTCCTTGATGATCCTATCCAGTTCGCTCTTGAGGTTGTCCCGCTCCATTTTCAGCTCCTCCAGAGACAAGTTGTACTTGTTGACCAAAGTCTCAAACATTTCCAACACACGGACTATCCTAAACTGTAGGTCTGACACTTCTTCGCCAGTGCTGCTGATTTTTAACAGATCTCTTCCGATTACGTACGAGATATCATACACATCTTCCACAGTGAGCTCGAAAGCGTCCTTCTCGAAAGCCCGAGCTGGTGACGATTCCTCACCAAACTCCATGACTCAGCGGGACGGCCGAAATAAACTCGACTTTTTTTCCCCCGGATGCCACTCATAAGTCCTTAAACCCCACTCTTTCTCACTCTTTCTTGACTTCGGCTCGTACAGAGCGAAGGTGGCTAACTTTGGAGAAGCAGCACTTCCCCCATCACTCACGCACCAATGGCGTGACTCGTCGGACAGCAGAGGAGGGCAAAGTATCCTAGCGACAGGTGAGTACAAAGATCGTGTACAAGTCAAGAGCGCTCACTCGGCTCTGGCTATCCGCCAGATCAGAGATCGTCGGTTTGTAAGGAAAATAAAGCAGTTTGTGAGTGAGAGATCACTCTTCATATAGTCTCTCTGAACTTCTCTCAATCAAATCAGTTGAGAAAACACGTGATTTCATGTATTTTGTTTTAGTGGCTCTGGTTAGCTGACTAACTACAGTAAAACAAAAGGTTTGGGAGAAAAATATCCTAAATCTTTAAGATTGAAATTTGATGACTTTTCCGAAAATGACACAAAATAAACAAAAAAATATTTTCTTACATTTTATACTGTTGTTCAGTACAAGTTTTTGTACATTAAGGCTGTTCCGGATAAAATTTAACCCACATCTGTGCTCCAGTGGGTCATATCTGGGAAAATAGTTGTTTCAGGAATTCAGAAACTGTACATCTCCGATCTTTGTGTACTTTTTGTGGGGTAGCTTAATCTAGCATATAAACTGAATAAAAATATCATGGTATTGTGTAATTCAACTGTATGTCTTTCAGAAATCTTTAGCAATTTGAAGTTTTATTTATGTGTGCTCAATTATGGGACTTTGCAGGATTATTGACCTTTTTTTAATTTAAATTTTAACTACCAAGTAAATTACCAAGTTATTCCTTTTTCAGTTTTGCTTTCTTTCTGCTTGCTAATTTTGCAAAATTAATGAAGATATTTTTTTTAAAAAGAGCAAAATATCGACTGTGCTTCATTGTGACACCAAAAAAATTCAAAAGTTTAAAAATAAAACTTTATTATTTATTTCAAACAAACATTATTTTCCCTGTGCATCCTGGCACATACCAGTAGCTATGATAGTATTTATAGAGTATTCATTAGTGATGGAATATACTTCTCCTGGAGATTAAGACTTGCCAGTGTACACCACGATGTTTGGTGCCAGGCTGTAGTGATTAGCAGAAGCGCACTCTCTTCATGATGAGCTCATAGAATAAAGGCACTTCAACTTTCATGATCATGTGCTTACTTTGCTATCAGATGCATCTCAACATGAACCAAACAAGACATTCAGTTTATAGGCTCAACAAATACTCTGTATATGTGTATATGTATTTGGAGCCATGCAATAAGAAGCTTAAATGCTAATATAAAGCATCTGACATGTGCAGCATCAAAAGTCTCCCTCAGTATATCTGCATAAAGCAAAGCACTTACAGGTGGTGACTTTCCAAAGACATAAAATATGACTGTGACAGGTCATAAAAACACCTGAGAAGGTCCAGATATGGCCATTTGCCTCACATTTTAACTGCTGAAGTTTATGTAAAGCTCAAAGTAGCAAAAATAAAAACAAGAAGTATCATCAAAATAAACATTAATTCCTTAAATCGCCACATTTTTAAATGTAAAAACACAAGATGGGTTTGGTTTTTAATAATTAAGGATCGGAGCCATTAAACCCAAGCGTGTCGGTCAGAAAACTCGTGCTGAGATGGTGTGGTTTAAAAAAAAAAAAAAAAAAGTCATACGAAGGAAAGTCTTCTGATTGGCAACAATGTTGGATCGTCTGTGATCAAACCGGCAGCCACCATTGGCATAATAGCTGTGAAGATCCTGTCAAGACAGGAAAAGAGAGAAAACACATCATATGTAAAGACTATGTGAAATCAGTATTATTGAGTCATGTATTATTAGGCCATGTTATCCTACACAGGAGCAGAGTACTGATATTTCAAATAACAGGAGTAAGAAAACCATAACAAACAAACTCATCGCTCACAAGCGTCTTATTCCTGATTCACGTTGATCAGCCACAGGTAAGCTCGGAGGAGGAGACGGAGAGGAGACAATGGAGCCGGTGTTCTCCTCAGTGTTCAGCTCATCACTGAAGGATAAGGAGGAGGTCAATGTCAGCTTTTGTATCCGCGCCGAGTCAAATTTTATGCCTGTGAAGGAAGTCGTACCTTTTATAGTATGCCAGCTCCTCCTGCAGCAGGAACACCTGAGCTTTGAGTTCATTCTTCTCCTGCAGGACGTCCCGCAGCTCCTGCAGGGTGAAGCGAGGCTTGTCCGAGTCCTCCTCTGGCTCTTCATCCGTCGATCCATTCTGCATTCAAAACAAATATTCATTCTTTCTACTGCACAGCTTAAAAACAGATACTATAAAATGAAAGAGGTTGGTTATGCTGTTGAGTGAAACTGGTTTTCTCCAGCAATGTACAACAGAAAAAGGAGCAAACAAAGTTTCAACCATGAGTCGCCGTTCTTGTGCATTTAACAAAAAAAGGTCATGTCTGACAGATGTTCATCGCCTTAAGGAAACACTACATGACAAAGTTTGTCTGAATCTGCCTACGCTGACCTGTCTAATGTCTCTGGCATTGTGATATGAGCATTAACAATAACATCAGTCCAGTGAGTGTCATGGTGTTATGGCAGATTAGCTAAACGGTGAAACAATCTTCTCCCAGCTGTGCATCACTTCAGGCATATTTAAACATCCAGTGCTTGATCATTTTCAGCACCAATGAGGCGTAGCTAGTAATAAAGTGTGGACAAACTATTTTTACCTTGCTCCGCCCTTAAAACTGTGGCAATACCAGTATCCTGGCATGGCTACGCACACCTCATTATACCACTGTAGCATCAACAAACTACAGATCCATCAATATCGGCTGCTTATCTGGGGTCGGGTTGTGAAGACATCTGCCTGTGCAGGGAAGTCCAGACCTCCCTCTTCCCAGTCATCTCCTCCAGCTCATCCAGCTCATACCAAGGTATTTCCAAACCAGTTGAGGGAAGTAATCTCTCCAGCCTGTCCTGGGTCTACCTCGAGGCCTCCTCCCATTAGGACATGCCTGGAACACCTCGCCCACAATTGATCCCAGTTGGATCCTGAACCACCTCAGCTGGCTTCCTTTGAGAAAGGCCAGCCACCCTTCTGAGGAAACTCATTTCCACTGCTTATATCCACCATCTGATTCTTTTGATCACTACCCAAAGCTGTGTGACCACAGGTGAGGGTGGGGACGTAGATCAAATCGACAGCTTTGAGATCTTTTCACCCAAACACACTCGAAGCACCAATCTGTCTGACAATCTCCCCTCTCCCCTCACTCATGAACAAAACCCCGAGATACTTTAACTCCACCACTAGCGGCAGCATCTCATCCCTGACCCACTGCTCTCACTCTCGCTGCCTCACACTCAGCTTCGAACCACTTCAGTGTGAGCTGGAGGCCAGCACGTATAGAGGGAACAGATCATGGTTTCATGGTTCACTGGAGTCCCAAAAATCTGGTCTCCTAGTTTCACCCTATGACTTAACCCTGGTCCTTCATGTCCCACTTGCAGTGGCTCTGTGTCCCAGCAATGGGCCCACCCCACAGTTTGAGAACCACTGACCTGAAGTTAAATTAGATTAAACCAGATACATCTGTGAGTAGTGAGATTAAAGATGGTACCAGCTGACTGCTGTGCCTCACTATGACAAGGTGATAACGACTATTTAGTGTAAACAGCCTTATGGCAGCTCTGCTATAACAACACAGCAGCACTGGCTAAATAGTAAAGTGTACGTGGACATTACCAGCAACAATGTTGTTGAGTTCTCCTCTTCATCTCCGTCTTCCTTGTTATCCTCTCTGTTTGCTGACTTTCGGAGAAAGGAAAGACTCTTGTCGCACTCGAAACAGTTTTCCAGAAAGTCTGGATCTCCCCCACACTCCACCCACACTGAATTTGGTTTGAAGGAGCTAGAAAGGTGAGCTGCTGCTGCTGCAGACTAGATTTGTGACACATAAAAGCCACTTAGGCAAAAAACAAAAAACAAAACAAAAAACCGACCCACAAATAGTTTGAACATCTGCTAAATATCAGGTATTTTTTCTTACAGTCATCAGTGGGGATGCAGGTGAAGAAATCTCAGAATTTGACAGAGGCAACTCTTCTGTCTGAGCGACTTCTATCTCTCGCTCCAGCTCCCGCAGCTCCTTTTTCAGCCTGGTGACCTCCAGCCGCAGAGCCCCCGCTTCCTGGTGTTGTGCCTGGGCTGCAGCTTCCAGCTCAGCCCTCTGCTGAATCAGGGTCTTGCCCTGGGCCTCCATCAGTCCTATCCTGTGAAGAAGCTCCTGGTTCATCCTTATCAGCCGATGCTGCTGCAGCTGGAGCTGAAGTTCAGAGAATTTGCTCCATGAATTCTAGTAAAACAAAGTTGTTGTTTTTTGTTTTATAGTACATATATTCTTAGATGCAGGTATTGTGAATCCTCACCGCCTCGATATCCTCATTTTTTAGTGTCAGCTCATGATCTTTAGCCCGGATGTCGTCTCTCTGTTTATTCACCAAGTCTTGAAGTTTCTTCATCACTTGTTTTTCTTTCTCTGACATTCCTGCTGTAATCCAAATAAATAAATTAATGCTCACAGAAGGGTTACATAAGCATTCAAATAAGCACAGTAAAATAGGTTTTTAAAAAATCAAAACAGAGTGAAATTCTGCACTCGGGCAGATTTTGCACTAAAAACTTTTACCAGCATGAAACTGAACAGAACTACAATCACATTGAAAGAGTTACGAATCCACAGGAATATTTTTCAGTACGGATGCATTGTGTACTGTAAATCCTCCAGTTAAACACCAGGGTCACAGTCATTTGTTTTAAACAGCAAACGCCTAAAACTATTAAATGACACAATTTCCATGGTGTACACCTTCTTAATTTGGTGTATTAATACACAAAATAAAAGAGTGCAAAAGATTTATAAAAATATTTAACTTTTCAATTTAAAGTAAAATATGATAGGTTATTTTCCCAAAACATAGAAACTTTCACAAATGGCTTTGAGATTCAAGAAAATAAAGTACCATAGATGTATATGTTTGAGACAGATAAGGTGTCAGTGGCCAGAGGAGTCACGTCATGTAATATCCTGTTGTTTGTGTGCTTATAACCAGTGCATGTGCTGCAGCCCTGACAGTAAGT